GGCTACGATCGAGTTTGTTGAAAAATATATACTTATCTCATGATTTTGAGCCTTTTTAGAGGTTAGAGCACTAGGAAAAGTGCTTATGTAAACGCTTTTTTGTTTAGTACCGCTAATCAGTCGCCTAGAAAGCCAAAGTAAGTTCCAGATGTTTACACCATATTCCGGCCGCCATATTGGTGTACCACGGATGTATACCAAACATGGCGTTTTCTTACTGGGCTCTGTAAATTTCTGGGAAACATTTACGACGAATTTCTGAAGTTTGGGGAAACGCACAGGCGTAAAACTTGGAGAAGTGTCTTATTTAGTTATCTTCTATAGCGTACATCAAAATTTCTTAGCTTTTTCCAATGGTTGGTCTTCGATTTATTATTATTATTATTTTTTTATTGCATGACAGTGAAAACGATCTGTACCGTTCGAAGAACAGAACAGCAACTGGGGAATATTTTTTTGTAAAATGATAAAACAAGTTTTTTTAGTTCATAATTTTTGTACATGCTCTCACCTTCTTCTGATATAAATCCATGCCATTCCTCATTTCTTGATCGGGATCGTTTGCGGTCCAATATGGGGATCATTTGCGGTCCGGGATCATTTGCGGTCCTGGGATCATTTGCGGACCCGTACAGTTCAACATGACAATCTTACGGAACTATGGCGTCAAATAAGCAGTATTCTGTTTCTCTATAAAAGACACAAATGATAAAGCCCCCGGTGAAAAGCATAACAAAACAGCGCCGACCACATAAACAGTTGTCTTAAGTGCTTTTCTCTCCTTGACAAATCTTTCCACCTCTTCTTGGGGTAGCTGTTGAACTTTGATTTTACTTTGCTGATGAGCCGCTTTCTTGTACAAAATCGTGTAAGACGTCGTCATGAAAACAATGCAAGAAATCATGACGATGGACACTACCATCTTGCCAATTTTTTTTCCCTTAACTTCATTAAATAACAGATTGGGTAATGGCCTTCTAAGGATTGAACAACATAAAGCGAGAACCCAAGACGATGTTACTGCCACCCTAATGTTCCGCGCTGTTACGAGATAAGGATATGCCATGGTATATTTGATGGCTATTAACCTCTCACAAGTGACTAACATCAAATGGAGAGCCGACGAAAGAGTAACTGCCGTGATAAGGAGAAGGTGAAGAGGACAAACAATGTCAGTATTTATCCCACCAAGTAGCTGGTAAATTCTACAGATAATAAGGGTTGGCTGGACAAGGAGACCAGTTAATGCATCCGTTACCGCCAGGCAAGCGAG